CCAGCCCCTGAGGCTGTCCTTGAACTTGCAATCTTTCTGCCTTAGCTTCAGAGCTGCTGGGACTATAGGCATGTGCCACTATGCCTGGATTGTGATTTATATTTCTTTTTTTTTTTTTTTTTTGGCTTGGGGGAACACTGGAATTGAACCAAGAGCGCCTAACCACTGAACCACATCCCCAGCACTTTAAAAAAAATTTTTTTGTAGTTGTAGATGGACTGCATGCCTTTATTGTATTTATTTTTATGTGGTGCTAAGGATTGAACCCAGTGCCTCACATGTGCTTGGCAAGCACTCTGTCACTGAGCTACAGCCCCAGCCTCCCCAGCACTTTTTATTTTTTATTTAGAGACAAGTTCTCATTAGATTGCTTAYAGCCCTGCTAAGTTGCTGAAGCCAGCTTCGAACCTGTAATCCTCCTGCCTCTGCCTCTCTAGCTGCTGGGATTACAGGCATGCCCCAACATGCCTGGCTCTTGGCGATTTATATTTCTTAATCTAACTTACTCATATCTTTTGCCTATTTTTCTGTTGAGTGTCTTGTCTCCTATTTATTTTTAGGATTATACATTACAGGTATTAATTCTTTATTATATGAGTGATGTATAGACCTTTCAGAATTATTCCTGAATTCTGAATGTTTTACTAAGGCATTATTATTTAGAAAAACATGCCATTTCTTCAAGGAATCAGATTTTTTAAAATATCAGTCTGGGAAGTATTATAAATACTTCAGTCAATAAAGAAAAGAAAGGAACTAGTGATGACATATTTCCTATGGCCTTCCCTAGAATAGCCCATATCCAACCTATGGGTCTGTATGCTTGATCCAGAATCTCTCCATTCATTTCCTCGTTTTTACCTAACATAAAACCTTTCTTTTTAGGTGGATGACGACTTCACAGCCCAAGATTACAGGCTTCAGTTCCRTAAATGCTCTTCAAATCATTTTGAAGATGTTTATGTAGGTTCTGAAACTGAATTCATAGTACTGCACATAGACCCCAATGTTGATTATCAGTTCAGAGTCTGTGCCCGAGGAGACGGCCGACAGGAGTGGAGCCCATGGAGCGTCTCCCAAATAGGTCATTCTACATTGGTGCCTCATGGTATGCAATACCGTCTCACCCCTAAGGCTTAACTGCATATAGAAACAGTTACATTCTGTGCTAAGGGCTACCTACTGACAACTTTTTTTCTTCTTTTTTTTTTAAATTGCTCTTATTTTTTAAATACATGACAGCAGAATGCATCATAATTCTTATTACACATATAGAAAATAATTTTTCATATCTCTGTATATAAAGTATGTTCATACCAATTCATGTCTTCATACATGTACTTTGGATAATGATGTCCATCACATCTTTTCTAAAGATAAATCCTGAAGTGATGAGAAGAGCATATCTTGTACTCAAATTACAGTTCCTTCATGTAAATTTTGTTTTTATCAGTTCTTATCTAGGGATTTCAAAAATAATGCTAGATATATTCTTAGCATCACCTAAAATCAAAGATTGAATATATTGCATAGGACACAAAGTTTTTCAAACCTTCAATAAATATCTGGGCAGAGGCAATTTCTTAAATCTTAAGATTTGAAATTGGTCTCTCTTCTCCATTACTATTTCTAAAGACATATTCTTTTTTCTCCTTTTTTTTTCTTTTTTTGATAAAAAACAGAGTTTCACTTTTCACTATATTGCCCAGACTGGCCTGGAACTCCTGGGCTTTACCAGTCATCCTGCCTCATCTGCCTGAGTAGCTGGAAGCATAGGCATGTGCCACACACCTAGCAATTTATTAATAGGTAGTTTTTTTTTTTTCTTCTTCTTCTTCTTTTTTTCCCCCCTAGTACTGGGGATTGAACCCAGGGCCTCACCCATACTAGGCAAGTGCTCAACCACTGAGTTATACCCCAGCCCTTTTCATTTTGTTTTGACACAGGGTCTTGCTAAATTGTCCAGGCTGGCCTTGATGATTGCAGTCCTCCTGCCTCGGCCTCCCAAGTAGCTGGGATAATAGGCAGGTGCTACTATGCCTGGCAGTGTTCTTTCTTTAATGTGGTGCTGGGCATTGAACCCAGGGTATTGCTCATGCTAACCGTGCACTCTACCATTGAGCTACACTCACAGGCCCTATTAATTAGTCAGCTTGGAATAAACTCAGACTTTAACCATGTTTTTTTTTTTTTTTCCCCTGGGGATTGAACCCAGTACTACATCCCCAGCCCTTTTTATTTTTTAGTTTGAGACAGGGTCCTACTAAGTTGCTGAGGCTGGCTTTGAGCTTGCAATCCTTCTGCCTCAGTGTTCCAAGTTGCTGGGATTGCAGGAGTGTGCTATCACACCAGATTTAAAACATGATTTTTATTAGCTAGGAGATAACACTTAATTGATGCTATACCAAAATTGTGTAGGAATGTACTAAAATCTTTCTGTAATTTGTAAGAGTACCATGATACCCCATAATTGAAACCCTTTATCTTAGTAAATTTGGCCATGACCTCTATTAGTAGTCATTTTTTAATGTGTCTGTATTGAAGTTATCCTTAAATAGGAGTCTAATAATTTTCAATGTCTTTGCTTTTAAAAAGAGTGGACAACTGGCTTTGAGGGATACAGTCTGAGCAGTCGAAGAAATATAGCACTCCGGAATGATTCTGAATCCTCAGGTGTTCTCTACTCCAGCGCTCCAACCTATATTTGTGGGCAGACATTAACATTCAGGCAAGTGGATATGAATATATCTGTCATAATCTGGGCACAGTGGCGTCCATCTGTAGTCCCAGCTACTTGGGAGGCTGGGACAGGAAGATTGCTTGAGACTATGAATTTGAGACCAGCCTGAGCAGCATAGCATAGATCCTGTCTAAAACATATTTTTTTTAAATGATAAAACATCTGTCATAACTTAAGTAACATAACAAAGTACACAGAACATGTATGAGCTTTAAATTAAAAATATCCTGAATTTATTTATCATTCATAGGCAGTATTACTTTGGGGAGGGTTCTTTATTTCTGTGTTCAGTTTTCTCATCTGTATTCATAAAGTATTATGAAGATTAACTGATATGTGTATAAAAATGTGTGTAAAAACTCAACATGAGGGGTTGAGGTTGTGGCTCCGTGGTAGAGCGCTCGCCTAGCATACATGAGGCACTGGGTTCGATCCTCAGCACTGCATAAATGTAAAATAAAGATATTGTGTCCACCTAAAACTTAAAAATAAATATTAAAAAAAAAAAAACTCAACATGAGGGCTGGAGATATAGCTCAGTTGGTAGAGTATTTGCCTCAAATGTGCAAGGCCCTGGGTTCAATCCCCAGCACCACCAAAAGAAAAAAACAAAGAAATAATACCTCAAGTCTCT